TGCATCACATCTGGTGTCATGGGTGTCCATGGACGGCGCTGATTGCTTACCATCAGGTGATCCGTCTGATCGTTTAACGGCTTACTCTATAAAAAAAAACTTTTTAAACCCTAGATAACATTTCAGGCTTTTTACTTTCAGAAGGGACGATGGTATGGTATTATTTTTTTTTTAAGGAGGGAAAATCATCGAATGACTGCTCCCGCCTGGGTGAGGCGGGAGGGCGTGTCAGACTCTTACTGACTTAAAACCTTCCTCCTTCTTCTCCTGCACGTCGAGCCGGAGGCCCGGTAAACCGTTAGGTTCTCCGCGACTCCGAACGATGGTATAAGGCAGCAAACGAGCAGACGGATCACTTGATGGTAAGCAATCGGTGTCACTCATGGACACCTGGAACACCAGAGGAGTTACAAGCGCGTTTCAAGCCTTTTGTGGTTTTGAGAGCTAGAGGCGAATTGGATCTCCAGTAACCTCACTCACGCACGCTCTAATAAATACTTCATTCAGATTTCGCAAGTTATTTTGCCTAAAGTAAATTATAAATTCAGATACATAATAATACTTTTCACGACCTAATCGACCATTACCTATCATATTAGTCAAGAACAAAATCAAAAATAATATCAGACACTATCGCAAATCACTAATTTCACTCCAACACTGCAACACGCACTTTATAGTGGGCGAACCGGTACCAACAAGGTTGACAACCACGCCTAGACGAGTCTAGACTAGCCATTATAATGCCTAGGCTGACTTTAGGTCGCCTAGGTAACCTACACGTAGGACTCAAATACTTTAGCTATTGATATGACATCGCAAAGAAAGTTTTTATCACTAATATGAGCGTGGGAGATCCATGCTTCGGCACAAATGGGCCGGCTCGACCGGAGTGATACCACGGCCTCACAGAAAACCGACGTGAAACAACGCTTGCGTTGTGTTTCGTCGTGTGAGTGAGGTTACCAGAGGCTCAATTACCCTCCCCTTCCCTAATCTCTGCAATTCCTGAATCCCCAACGATCCTCAAACTCCTAATCTCCAAAAGGCCGGTAACGCACTTGTAACGCCTCTGGTGTTCCAGGTGTCCATGGGCGACGCCGATTGCTTACTATCAGGTGACGCGTCTGGTCGTTTACCGGCTCTATACCGTATATACCTACATATGATTTGTAATTCTACCACAATTTCGAATGGGGTTATAGAACAGATGGATTTTGATTTCACTGCACGGTTGGAGCAGTGGCTGGACAACCGGCTGCCACGCTTAGTGTAGCGGGTTAAATTCCCGCACGGAACAACTGTTTGTGTATGTCGATTATTTTAAACCATTAGACACGTATCTTTAATTTTCTTACAGAAACGAATACTTCGGACGACATATTGATTTGAAAAGTCGCGTGACGTCACTTCTATGCACATTATACACGTAGAAATGACGTTTTAGCCCCCACTCCTAAACTTTGATTCGTTTTATCTAAGTATTGTTTTATTATACGACAAAATAAAAACAATACGTGTCTAATATTTTTTCATTACCTAACTGACGGACTAATTATATTTTTAATTTTCATACCCTGGCATCATCCCTATTGTGCCTGAAACTTCCTGGTCAGCAACCATTAGATTAGTCTTTAGACAGAACAGTAGCAATAGCAGCAAAACATTACATATTGAATTATATAAATTAATCTAAAGTTGTCAGAGTTATGCGTCAACGTATAACGAGATAATAGCTGGAACCTAACCAATTTATGAACTAAATTACAATTTAGATTGACTAAATCTATACATATACATAAAATTGGAATGTCTGTTTGTAATATTAAAATAACCGCTTTTTACTACATGCATATGAATATACATACGACCCACATACCAAAATAACAATTTCTTTTAATTTTTGTCTATCTGTTTGTTTAAATTATTATGTTTTCGGCTTACTCACGTAATAATTTGACGAGGGACTCGACTAGTTTCAAGCCATGCTAGAGGCTCATATTCATGAGCAGCATTTCGCGACCCGCGACCTGCTATTCTTGAAAGGCTTGAAACTAGTCGAGTTCTGGTCAAATTACTACGTGAGTAAGCCGAAAACATAATAATTTATTTAGTATGTCTCACGAAAGTTACAATACAAATATCTGTCTGTTTGTCTGTATTGGGTAATCTCTGTAATGGATGGACTGATTTTGATTGGACTTTTACTGGCAGGTAGCTGATGTACTAAGAAGTAAAATAACCTAACCCTATTTTCCTAGTACACCAGCTACCTTATTGTGGACAATTGAATAGACTGAAAAGAATAAGTTTATTTTGGAAAATTGAAACGAAAAAAAGTTACTACACGGACGAAGTCGAGGGCAACAGCTAGTTAATGATATGAACTAAATTACAATTGTACTTGGAAATCTTGTAGATAGAATTCCAGTGGGTAATTTTATATTGTTAGCTTTATAGGTTAACTGGTCTATCGTTAGACTTGGTGAATAGGTATTTCATATAAGCTCCAGAATTTTACTTCCTACTTGTAAGTAAAATTCAATACTTAAATACTAGTTTATTATTTAAACAAACAGCGTAATACTCGTTTATAATTCCAACCTGAAAGGACGTTTTTTTTAAGGGGGCAAAATCATCGAATGACTGCTCCAACCTGGGTGAGGCGGGAGGGAGTGTCAGACTCTTACTGACTAAAAACCACCCCGTTCCTTCTCCTACACGTCGAGCCGGAGCCCCGGTTACCCGTTAGGTTACAACTCTTTGCGCGGGAAACTTTACTAATCTGTCACATTTGACAGATGACAGCGTCAACATGACAGCTAGTGCTATCGATAACTAGTCGTGGGCACAACGGCTCTAAATCCACAACGTGTTATAACGTTAAGCTTCATAAAGAAAAAAAAGGTTATTTTTTCTGCGCTAACATATTAGTTAGGCTACGCAGCGCTGAACGCAGTGCGCGGTGTGTGAGTGCGATGGCTGCGCGTTGCGCAGCGCTTCGTTACATGCACA